TTTTTCCTTTTCTCATCTGTTGCCTTGGGAGCTTGTACTTGTGTTCTGTATACTTATAATACCTTGTCTTTTGTCTGATCATGATTTGTCCCGGCTGTCTTTGAATTCTTGAATCCTTGAACTTGAAACTGCTACGCTCACACTTGGGAAATGTGACACAAATGTCGAAGCTGACACCGTTTGTAGATATGAATCGGTAAAACAAAGAACACACATCGGAGATGAAACTTTCAGATCTGCTTATATCAGCTGCAATGCTTTTCATCAAAGGCAGTTCACTTTTTCATTTGAAAGTTACCAAGCAATGTGTAATGGAATGATGTTGAGCAGTGCACATATTCGCTTATGAACTGGTCTGCCATCCATCTCTTGGGATAAAACAGATGGCACTAGACTCACTACAACCACTGCAATAGCAGTAGCAGTCACACTTGCTGTTACTTGTTGCTGCTGTCTCCAACCCTCCCCTGCAACACACACACACACTTTCCTTTAACATGTAGCATGCACGTGAACATTCCCAGGCCTTCCTTCCCCAAGCTACACAAGGACGTGCAAAACAAATCCCCCCCACAAAAAAATAAAATGGCAGTGAGGCGTTGACCTAAATGGGATAGTGAGAGGCAATAGCCAGCTTTCTCTCAGTCCCCCATAATAATGAAATCCACCGATAGCTGGGCCTTAACATGCCATCATGTTGGCAACTCTAACAGCATATTAGAATTTCCCATGTGTTTGGTTAAATGGGCATGGGAAATGTTTGGCATGTTCCACTCAACTTCGAGAGAATTACTTCAAAGAAAACATGCTTTTTAGCTTTTATTTTTTAACAGCCACAACAGAGTTGCATAATATTATACATGCTATGGAAACAGTAGAAAACGGGGTTACTAGAACATGGGGTGCTTTCATTAAGCAGAATGTTAAATCATTAATGAGCAATACCTTTATAGTCCACTTTTTTCGTCTTCCAAGGAACCCAAGGCACCTTCCATGGTCTTACTCCTGCATTCCATCCTACCTCACAACAAGCCTGTAAGGTAGATTAGGCTGAGATGGGCCAAAGTCACCCAGTGAACTTCAGAGCTGAGCACAGACTAGAATCCACATCTCCCAAGACCCAGTCTGATATTTTAACCACATCATAATGGCTTTCAGATTCAGGGTAGATAAGAGGATAATTCTTCACATACTCCATAGTAATACTATGTAATGTGATGGTTGGTGATCTGGATGGCATGAATGGGGACTAGACAAACTGGTGGAAGATAAAACTCTTAACCACTAATCATGCTGACTACATGGTATCTCCAGTCAGAGGCAATATTGATCCCAGCACGAACATTCATAAGGCACCGTGCAGCTATGCGTATCTTCCTCTTTTTGCTTATTAGATTTTCCAGCGTAGAAAAGGCAATGGAAGAAGTGGCAAAACATGAACAGGTGTTGAGTGGAAGATGTCACCTGGATTCCCTGTAAATTTGTGTGAATGATGTAGGGCAATGACATCATAAAAACCTCACCTGGAAGCACTTGGCTACCACATGCCAAGTGACGGGAACAAGAGCAGGAAGAAGCTGTGGTCTCATGGTCCTGTCTGTGAGCTTCTCATAGGCATGTTGTTGCCTGTTGCCACTATGGGACCAGGCCTTTGTCCTGAACCAGCAAGGCTCTTGTTATGCGTAGGGACAAGCTGCACATTTCTCTGAACTAATGCGTCCCTAAACAGCCACCACCTTACAATAATTTGGGTACACCAAGTAGAAACCAAATGCACTATCGGTATCGAACACTGTAACGCTTTTCATTCTTCCTGCATGCAGACGATACAGAATAGGATGTCATTCAATGCAAATGCAGATCCTCAGCCTTTCTCACCATACTCCCCTCCAGTTCAGTCAGGTCACAAGAAAGGGTAACGGTTTAGTTTTCAAAACGCAAGGTAGTAAGGCTTTACTTTTCATTCGTTTAATTAACCTTCTTTCCTGTTGAGGTAGATAATCTTTTGTGTTTCCATCACAAAGCAATAGGTTTCATTATTCTGCATCAACTGATTAAAACTCATTATGCCAAATTGAACACATTAGTTTTTATTCTGAAAGCCAAACAGCAAGAACAATCTTCTCTACTTCATGAGGAGGCAATGACCAAGTCATTGTGATGTCAGATACCACTTACAGGGCAAACCGGGAAACTAGTAGAGTATACTGCACTGCGCTTCAACTGAAAGGTAGGCTTGAAGCTAGATCTTGCTCCTTTAGCTCACTTGTTCTTCCCTTCTAACTGTTATTGTTTATAACCTTCAACAGTGCATAGGCTGGATGGGAGAAGTTCATGCCATATGTTTCAGGTCCAATTCCCAGTATCTCTGGATAGCCCTGGAAAACCTCCAGCTGAAAACCCCAGAGAGCTGCTGCAGGTCCAACCTTAATTAATCAGGGACAACCTTGCTATGAGGTTAAGTCAGGCAGTTCAGGCAGGAATTGCTGGGAGTTGTCAGTGACTTTTTGGAGGAGAGTGCTGTGTGCCCCAGTGCCTGTTGTCTGCCACCCCAAGCTAGCTAGCCATGGTCAGGTGTGGTGGAGGTCACTGTCCCATTGCTAATGTTATAGCTGCCAGCCCTGTCAATTTTTGTACATGGAATGAGAGGGGGTATCATTTTGTCCTTTGCTCAGTTAGCAAAATGTATTGAGCTGGTCTTAAGACATGCCAATGGTCTGATTAGGTATGAGACATCTTCCTATGCTCTTTATTAATGAAACAGCACAGATCTTTGGCCAGGGAGAGATAATGGCTTTGTGCCTCTGAATGAGCTAGCCATCTGAGATTGAAAAAGGTGACATCCCTCTAGCTGGGAGGAAAGGCATACATAAGAATGTATGTGTGGGAAAAAATACATATTGAGAGCTGCGGGAATGCCATTCAGGAGTGGAAGATACCTCTCCCTAGATATCTGCTATGTCAAAGGAAGACAACCTGGTGTCTTCAACTTCCAAAATTCTGGATCAGATTATAAATTAAGCCAGTTTGTGAACATCTTGAAAACAATGCAGTGATTATGAGAAGCCAACAGGGATTTGTCAAGAACAAATCCTGCCAGACTATTCTGATCTGATTTTTTGATTGGGTAACCTCCCTGGTAGACTCTGGGAGTGCTGTGGACATAATCTGCCTTGACTTCAGCAAAGTGTTTGACAAAGTGCCCCATGACATCCTGATTAACAGACTGGCAAAAAGTGGGCTAGATGGAACTATCAGGTGCATCCACAGTCAGCTACAGCATCTGACTCAAAAGAGGGCTCATCAGTGGCACCTTCTCGGACTGGAGAGAGGTAATGAGTGGGTACCGCAGGGTTTTATTTTATTTATTTATTTATTTTTCGATTTATATCCTGCCTTTTTCCTACAAAGGGCTCAAGGCAGCTTACATCATTCTCCTCCTCCATCTTATCCCCACAACAACAACCCTGTGAGGTAGGTTGGGCTGAGAGTCTGTGACTGGCCCAAAGTCACCCAGTTGGCTCCATGGCCGAGCGGGGACTCAAACCCAGATCGTCTGAGTCCCAGTCCCACGCTCTTAACCACTACACCACACTGGCTCTCCTGGGCACAGTACTCTTCCACATTTTTATTGATTTAGATGAGGAAGTACAGGGAATGTTTACTAGATTTGTAGATGACACAAAATTGGGTAGGATAGCTAATATCCTGGGAGACAGAAACAAAAAGTGACCTTGATGGGTTGGAGGCTGGGCTGAAAAAAACAGAAAGAAATTCAGTAGGGACAAATGAGAAGTTCTGCACCTAGGAAAAAGAAACCACATGCCTCGTTACAAGATGGGGAAAACTTGGCTCAAAAATACTGCACGTGAGAAGGCTATTGGAATAGTTCACAGCTGAATATGAGTCAACAATGTGATGTGGCTGCAAAAAGGGCAAATGCTATTCTAAACTAGATTAACAGAAGTATCACTTCCACATCCCCTCATTCCTCTTTACTCACCACTGATTAGGTCTCATCTGGAGTACTGTGTCCAGTTCTGGACCCTGCAGTTTAAGAAAGGTGCAGACAAACTTTAGAGGGTTCAGAAGAGGGCAACATGGAGACTGGAAACAAAGCCCTATGAGGAGAGATTGAAAGAACTGGGTATCTTTAGCCTTGAGAAGGGAAGACTAAGGGGAGATATGATAGAACTCCACAAGTTTTTGAAAAGCTGTCAGACAAACATGGCCAGGATCTTTTTCCAATCATCCCAGAGTACAGGACATAGAATAATGGACTCAAGTTATAAGAAACCAGATTCCAGCTGAACATCAAGAACTTTCTGACCGTTACAGCTATAAGACAATGGAACTAATTATCTAGGGAAGTTGTGGGCTCCCACACAACAGAGCCATTCAGAAAAGCTTTTGAAGGCCAATAGGCAAAATACCAACCTATTTTAGCTTAAAGCTCTCACTGCTAGTCATGAAGCCTTAGGAGAGGGATCTGAACCTTTCAGAATAGGAAAAACTACATAAAAACTGGGAAACCACCAAAAATTAGTAGTTGGGGAGAAGGGCTGGAGCCAGGTTAAGGGGAATTCTGAGGCATTCCAAGGATCCCCTGAGGGCAAGGCTGGAACTCCAATTGGGCAAGATTAGATCTGGAAACCAGAGAATCTGCACTCCTGATTTAGAGGCTGACCTAAATTTTCTATAGCCACTCTTTCCCATGCATTCTATTTAATACTTTGAGTGCTGTTTTTTTTTTAGAAATTGGGAATACAAATAAATGCATTAAAATGTGCAGAAGTCAAAGGAATTTCACTCTAAATAGCCTTAGCCCCTTCACTGGTCATGCATATTTCTTCAGACCATGAGGACTCTGTTTTAATCTGAAATTGTGCCATTTTGAAAATGTCAGATGATTTATTTTTATTCAATTTCAGTTAGCAGCTGTCTGTGTTACAAAATCCATTTTTCAAGTTCTCCCTTCATCCCCACATATCCCCTGTATTTCCCTAAACTCTTTGTTTCACTTTGCAATCTGAAAAGTGATCTTTCAGTAATCCAAGTAGGAATTGTTGTGAAGTCAGTTCTATTCATCTGTTTAAGCACCTCCTCCTTAAACAGGAGTTACTTGTTCAAACTAAGTGAACAGGACACTGGTTAAGTTGACCTTTGCATTTTTGTGCATAAACTCTCTCTGCAGCTATTAAAGATGGAGGTCCACCCAGGCATGTCCTTTTACAATGATGTGCAAAATGGAACAGCCTTAGTAACACAAACCCTGGAATCTGCTAATCACCTGAGTCCATTGCATATCCCTCCAGGTCCACCTATACTACCAGAAAGGTAGAGTATTTACTCACTGCTTATTCCTACTTCTTGAGTATCTTGCTTCTAGCAGGTATTTGCATTTAGAATTTGAATATGCTACCTCCACTTTCTTCATCAGATGGAAATGCAGAAAAATGTTGAAATGCTAAAGGATTGTGAGAATAGTGAGGTCAACCTTGAAAGCCAGAGGATTACATTGCTAAGGGGGTGATATTGTTGCCAAAAGGTCTGTGCCCTGGCGTGCATATGCTCAAAATACACAACAGGGGAAGGTTTTCTTTTAAAGGATTTAGTCTTGAGGTTAACCTGCTACCAAGGAATTGTTCCAGCTGGCCCACCTGAGCAGCCCTCAGTTGGTCCTTTTATACATTGATTATTAAAGTTTTACACATAACAGTTAATACTTTCCAATAGGTTACAGAAGTGAAAAGTTGCAATGGCATCTTTCCCACTTGCATACCAAAGAAGATGCTCTGAATGAGGGAAGGGGGAGGATGGGGTGCTATTTTGGAGAAGATGAAGGGGATGGGGTGGGCTAGTGTGACTTGCCCTTCATTTGAGCTGCTGTTATCTGCCAAGGGCAAATTAGCTTTCCCTGGACTGGTTCCTGGTTAGTATCAGCTACATTTCAAGGATACACACATACTAATTTTTAGAAAAGAGGATTTTTCCCAGGCCTGGTTAGATGGCTGGCCTAGAAACATTTGCTCCATTCTTTTCATTGAAAATAATAGTTAGTTTTGTATATAACCAGGACTGCAAATGTGTGCAACGCAGAAGATCCAGTTCCTGTACTTCCCCCATTGCCATGTGCAACACAATCATCATCATCATCATCTCCTCCTCCGCAAAAAGGGTCACTCTTTCAACCTGCTAACCTGAAGACAGAAGTCATGCAAGATTTATTAACAGTTCCTTTGGTTTCAGCCTACTCAATGCCATCACCACAAGTACAATGTGAATTAATCATTTGAATGCCAAGAACAAAGTCTGCCTTGCTGGATCAAACCATGAAAACTAGCATTTTGGGGCCGGCAGCATTCAAATAACCTTGATGTTTGAAATGATAAAAGGAAGTTAACACACAACGAACTCATATGATTCAACTGAGTGCAGTTTCTAATTGCCCAAGTAAGCCATCAATTTGAGGGTGATGCATCTTTAAAATACACCGAGTTGCTCTGGGCTTCTCAGCTAAGCCAATGACATGGAGAGATGAGAAATACCAAACAGGCTATTTTGCTTAGAGCAGTGATGAGGGTGGAAGTCCCTCAGGGGAACACATCAGCTCTGTATTCTAGCGCTAGCCATTGCCCAGTGGGGCCAGGCCCTAAAGTGGGTGGGCACCCCTTCTTTCTGGCCTAAACTGCAAGTGATCATTTGAAACTTCTGGCAAAAACAGTTTCTTCCATGGCAAACAGGTGGGAAGTGGGAGAGTGTTGAGAGAATAGGGAAGGGGGCAGAGAAAGAATGCTCGGTTTTGTTTTTTAATTTACTTCCATATAACCGTGTGAGGCCCCAATTCAGAGCTATTGCATGCAGGCTGGGGAGGCTTAAACCTTCCTGCAACCTCTATTTTTCTTTAAATTCACCCCATATGCTTTTTTAAAAGAATGAAAACTCCATTGTCACCAATGAAGGACTCTATTTTGCTTACACAGAAATAAAAGAGCAAAGGTTAGGTGTAATTTAGTTCTCCCTTTCTTCCTGTCACCCCTTCTCTTTCTCCCTCTCCCTACCACCACCTTCCCTTTCTGCCTCTCTGCTTTCCTACCCAGCCATCTGATGGCCATGCAAAGGACAGATC